ATATATACATATATATGTGTGTGTATATATATATATATATATACACACATACCACATCTTCTTTATCCATTCATCTGTCGATGGACATTTAGGTTGTTTCCATGTCTTGGTTATTGTGAGTAGTGCTGCTATGAACATATGGGTGCATGTATCTTTTTGAATTATAGTTTTGTCTGGGTATATGCCCAGGAGTGGGATTGCTGGATCATATAGCAACTCTATTTTTAGTTTTTTAAGGAACCTCCATACTGTTTTCCACAGTGGCTGCACCAATTTACATTTCCAGCAACAGTGTAAGATAGTTCCCTTTTCTCCACACCCTCTCCAACATGTGTTATTTGTAGACTTTTTAATGAGGGCCATTCTGACTGCTGTGAGGTGGTACCTCATTGTAGTTTTGATTTGCATTTCTCTAATAATTAGCGATGTTGAACATCTTTTCATGTGCCTATTGGCCATCTTTATGTCTTCTTTGGTGAAATGTCTATTTAGGTCTTCTGCCCATTTCTTGATTGGGCTGTTTGGTTTTTTGTTATTGAGTTGTATGAACTGTTTTTATATTTTGGAAATTAAGCCCTTGTCGGTAGCATCATTTGCAAATATTTTCTCCCAGTCCGTAGGTTGTCTTTTCGTTTTGTTATGGTTTCCTTTGCTGTGCAAAAGCTTGTAAGTTTGATTAGGTTCCATTTGTTTATTTTTGCTTTTATTTCTATTGCCTTGGAAGACTGACCTAAGAAAACATTAGTACGATTTATGTCAGAGAATGTTTTGCCTATGTTCTCTTCTAGTTTTATGGTATCATGTCTTATATTTAAGTCTTCAAGTCATTTTGAGTTTATTTTTGTGTATGGTGTGAGGGTGTGTTCTAACTTCACTGATTTACATGTGGCTGTCCAGCTTTCCCAGCACCACTTGCTGAAGAGACTGTCTTTTCTCCTTTGTATATTCTTGCCTCCTTGTCAAAGATTAATTGACCATAGGTGTGTGGGTTTATTTCTGGCCTCTGTATTCTGTTTCATTGATCTGTATGTCTGTTTTTGTGCCAATACTATACTTTTTGATTACTGTAGCTTTGTAGTAGTGCCTGAAATCTGGGAGGGTTATGCTTCAAGATTTTTTCTTTTTCCTCAGGATTGCTTTAGCAATTCTGCATCTTTTATGGTTCCATTTTCCTCAGGATTGCTTTAGCAATTCTGCATCTTTTATGGTTCCATGTAAGTTTTAGGATGATTTGTTCTAGTTCTGTGAACAATGTCATGGGTAACTTGATAGGGATCACATTAAATCTGTAGATGGCTTTAGGTAGTATGGCCATTCTAACAATATTAATTCTTCCAATCCAAGGGCACGAGATGCTAGATCAGATTTTTAATTTTGACAAAACTGCTTTCAATTGGAATCAAATGCCCTCAAGGACCTATATGTCCAAGGAGAAAGCACATGTCCCAGGTTTAAAGGTTCTAAAGCAGCATTGTCTGATAGAAATATGAGAAACAGGGCTTCCCTGGTGGCGCAGTGGTTGAGAGTCCACCTGCCGATGCAGGGGACACGGGTTCGTGCCCCGGTCCAGGAAAAGAAATACGAGAAACATGTAATTTTAAGCTTTCTAATAGCTATATTTTTAAAAAGTAAAAAGAAACAGGTGAAATATTTCAATATAAAAACTATTAATGAGATATTTCCATTATTTTTTCATACTAAGTCTTTGAAATCTGCTGTGTATTTTACATTTACATCACATCTCAGTTTGGATTGGTACATTGAAACGCTCAAGAGCCACACTTGGCTAGTGGCTACCATATTGGACAGCACAGCTCTAAAAGATGACTGTGATGTTGAGTACAAATACCAGTGGAGGTTTAATTGTGTATTTTTTATTAGCCTAGTAACTTTTATGGTCCTAGGGTAACAAAACTGCATAGGCTTTCAGTGTTCTGCTCCTAAGCTTGTATTTTCATAAGTCCTATTATTTTTAGTGCACCACTTTTAAAAAACTACTTCTTTCTTCTGTACGTATTTTCCTACCCTTCCTCCCAGCTAGAGGTAGTCATGTGACAAGGTTCTGAGCAATGAAATGTGAAGGGAAGTCTGTTAAATCATATGGGAAAGATTTTTCACCCTGATAAGAAGGGAGGCCACAAAGAGAAAGCATTTTTCTTTTTCTTCTCCCTCTATCCCTGCCTTTCTGTTTGAACATTTCACATGAGAACATGATTTTTGGTGCTGTGGCAGCCATTCTGTGACTATGACAGAAGACTCTTGTATGTTGAAGATGGCAGAATTCCTTACAGAGATGTAAATGCAATGAAGAAGCCAGCCAGGCAAAGATGGGGGTAGGAGGGAGGCGGGAGAGGAGCTCCCTAACAGCAGGAAGAGTGCTTCAGCAGATATGTCCTTAATGGGCATTGCTTAATATTCACAATCAAAGTCACCCTTTCTTCTCCCATATGCCCCCACCCCCTTGCTAATGATTCCCTTCCAACTGACTGGAACATTCTTTCTTCAGGTGTGACAAGAGTGCTGGAATTACTCCCAACACTTGCAAGAGAGCAGAGCTACAAGCAGGAGCACAGTTTTCTTGAAGTCCCTTGTTTATCATTAAGGATTCATGCACAAACACTGCAATTTGGCTATCACATGTTTAATACTTCAAAAAATGTTTAAAATTATCTATCTTGAAGAAAGTTCTATCACTCAGTTAATAAGTAAGATTATATTGTGTTGATTCAACCAATTTTGGGTAATTGGGAATGCATACAAGATTCACTGATCAGCAATTTCTTATCTTGGGGTCACAATAATTCAAGAACCCAGGTTTACATAAATATGTGGACGCATATGGCAGCAGTTTTTTTCACTGCTTTACAATGTCAGGGTAATTACTGATTGTGGAAATTCTGGAAGTCTATCTCCTGAGTCGTATGACAGACTGAATGGATAACCAATTCAGTAGTGAGTTTCTTTTACTCATCAAAGGATTTTTTTTTTCAGTGAACAAAGACGAAGTTTTATTTGACCACTTACCAGTCTTACACTAACATTTTCATCACATGTAAATGAACCAGTAGTCTCAAAGGATTCATAGTTCTATATCAACTCTTCATCCAATTCCCATTCTCTATTTCCATTAGAACCATCTCATCATGTGCAATAAAAGCATTCAGTTTCTTTTACAGTTGTTGATTGCCTTGACAAAGTAAGCAGTGTTTATGAGTCAGTCTTAATCACCTTAATAGGCGAACAAAGAATCAATTCAGCTTATCTACGTTTCTTTTCCTTCAGGAAGAAAATGTCAATTCAGTCCTGGCTTAGAAAACTGGCTATCACCTTACTTCAACCAAATGAGTGTACCTCTAGATAACGGAGCAGGATTTTAAAGTTCCTTGTGACTTTGGTACAAATTGTTGCCTTAAAGGGTAAGTATCCAAATTGCTACATTTACTAAATTTTACTGTCATATCGAACATAATAAGAAAAACCCAGAGGCTGATTTTTTAAGGTGAAGGCTCTGTGAACCATGCTGGAGGCGTCCAGAGCCTTCAAAATCTGGCCCCATCTGCACACGTGTCCATACTTTTCCTCTACTTAATTTCATGCTACCTAAAAATTTCACCTTCCTTTTGTAGAAAGTTTCTTCTATTACAAATTAAAGTCTTCAAATCCATCATTTAAAACCTAACAGAGTCCAACAAAATTTCCAAATTGTTAACATCTATGCTATTATCCAACTCTAAGATAAACATCTAGGTCTAGCTGAATCTACCAGTTACTTAAGGCTGTTTTGAGCACATTAAAACGCATCACTGGAAATTCTTCCATAAGGATAGTTTTTAAAAATCAGCTTGCCTGCGTTTTCTTTGTTTTCAAACAGATCCAGTCATATCTATAACACAAAGTTTCACCAGATCTTCTCATTTTGTAAGTATCATAGCCTTCTAAGCCACCTGAAACTGATTCTGAAGGGAACTTAAAACCATTTTCGAAAATTTGCTTGTTGGTTTGTGCTTTTTCTGGCTATTGCTTCTAGAGTCATCTCTGTTTTTAGTTTAAAAATTTGCATGGCTCCTTTTTTGACTCTGCTTCGAGAGTCTTTTTTTTTTTTCCAATAGTCATTCTTAATGATGCAGGTATTGCTCGAAATTTGAGCAAGATGGGCTTAGGGTTAGTGTTATTTGCATCTTTTCCATTACAGGAGTCCATATTTTTAACAGGTACCTAAATACGACCTTCGCTTTTGGGTTTAGTACTGTTGCTGCTTACCACTTCTTAGTTATGGTTAGAGTGGTGCTATCACCTTCATTACGTTCATAATGAAGCTCTTCCACGACAGATCTGAAAAGGCAACGATTTCTAAGTGATCAAGATTGGTTTTCATTACGGCTCGTGTTTTCATTACGGCTCGTATTTTCACTGGTTTCAGGTATACACTTAACCTGTCCTGTTATTAACCTCCCACCCGTGTTCCCGGCTGAAAACGCGACTTTCATCATGAACTACACACCAAGACCTTAGACTCCGGACTCTGAAGTGGGTACCCAGCGGCCGCCCGAGGTAGTAAACAAAGCCCCGCGCAGGCGCAGTAGCAGCAGAAGGGGGAAACTTGGTGGTGTCAGCCAATGGGATTTTTCCTACAGTGAAAAGTGGAAAAACAACAACAAAAATCCCCACACCGCATTCTAAGGTGATAAACTGGTTGGCTTTTTTCCATTTTTTACAGAGTTCTGGCTTTTGTTTCTGAAGAACTTGTGCGGCCTTCGGGGCCTCGTAGAGAAAAGCCCTTCCTCGGCCCCAGAGACCTGCCGCTGGCGTGTCGCCTACCTCTAGCCTCGTTTGTTCTCGCCGCGGAGTCTTGATTTTTTTTATTTGACGACAGCATTAATCCATCGGGGCTGGAGGAGAGGCGGGGGCGTAAATAGGCCTCAAAGCACCCCCAAAAACACTACTCCCCGGACTGGCCCAAACATCGCGAGATCTGCCTGCGCGAACAGCGGACGCCCCCTCACCCTCCGGGCGTTTGCTCATGCGCTTGACTGATCATTTTTAGCGCGAAAACATTTAGAAACGTTTTGGCTGGTAATAGTCAACCAAATTTGACCCTCGAGAAAGGTCGGAGGTTAATTCACGTGGACGCGATGGATTGGAGCACACAACACGACATTCTTCGAGATTCTGCAGTCACAGCTCCACATGCTTATACGGTCGTCACTCCTTTCCGTTGCTCTGTTTCGGCCGTGAACTCTGTGAGGAGGTTTCAGCGAATCGAGTAGTAAAGGCGTGGGCGTGGGAGAGCCGTCCAGGCTTTAAACCAGAGTGGTGAGCTTTCTGTGTTTGGAAAGATAACCCTGGGAGCGACATAGAGGAACAAATCTGAGGGGCCAAGAAAGAAAACCTTGTGTTTTCTTTGTATTTTTTTTTTCTGGAGACCAAGAGAAGATGTGAATGTAAATAAGGTAGTGCAGTGGGAGGGAGAAGGTGGGAAAATTGTGCATGAAGGCAGTAGCCATGCAGCACAGTGGAGAGGGGAAGCTAGGAAAACAGAACTCTGGGCAGTAGAGCACGTCTTCCTTCAGATAGTGCGACCCTGTGCGTGTTTGTAAACAGAAAGGCAGAAATGCTCCACATTTAGTTCCTCGTGGGTGAGGTGGAAATAGGGGAGTCCCTAAGTGAGTGGGACAAGGAGGATTCTGAAAGCCAGAGTCGTGAGCAGGGGCTGAGGTTGGGATGAGGAAGGACAGTTAAGGTAACGGGAGTCAAGAATTCTGCAAGTGTTTTGAGAGAACTGACCCATCTGACCTCTTTCTCTCTCAGGGTATGTGGGACACCTGCGCAAGCACTGGAGTTTGCCCTGCAGCGCCTGAAAGGACACCCACAGTGTCCTCTCCCAGTGGGTCCCTTGGCCCCTCGAAGCATACCTCAGGCGGAATGTGGATTGCATGGAGTGAAGTGGTGGAATTGAGCTACCAAGACACTGGCGCGCAACAAAAGTACCGACTTGTCGCCGCTAGCCTCCCAGGTCACTAGGTATGAGAGCCCCATCTTTTTTTTTTTTTTTGCAGTACGCAGTCCTCTCACCGCTGCGGCCTCTCCCGTTGCGGAGCACAGGCTCCGGACGCACAGGCTCAGCGGCCATGGCTCACGGGCCCAGCCGCTCCGCGGCATGTGGGATCTTCCCGGACCGGGGCACGAACCCGCGTCCCCTGCATCGGTAGGTGGACTCTCAACCACTGCGCCACCAGGGAAGTCCCGAGAGCCCCATCTTGATGTTAGCAGCAGTCGTATGCAGCTTAGCCAGTATATTTTGATGCTCTGTGTACTGTCTGTAGTACAAGGCAGAGGAACGGTGGAATACATGGTTTTAGTAGACCAGCAAAGGAATGGCTTGTAGGTAAGCAATATAGCTTCATCTGTAAGAAAAACTCAGTATAGAAAGCCGCAGGGTTTAAGTTAGCAGTGAGGGAGAAGGATCCAGGTATCGGTCAATAGAGTGGAAGTACTTTAATAAAGGCCCAGACCTAGTAGTCCCCTATCAAGAAGTTCTGCCTGGAGCACTTCGCCTCATTTTGGCAGCCTAAAGTGTAGCCTAGTAACTGGGCTGTATGTGTGGAGTTCATGGGAAAATGTTCCAGGAAAAAAAAAATATATCCGTGGATGCAATAGACTAGGGTTTCTGCGCTGGCGCCTGTTTTTGGGGGGAGTGGGATTGTTACCGAAACGCAAATCCTGTGTGCCCGACGCACAGTGAGGCCACACAATACCAAAATGCTGGAGTCTGGAACACAGAAAGGTTTATTGCAGGGCCATGCAAGGAGATGGGTGGCTCACGCCTTAAAAAACCCCAAACTCCCTGAAAGCAATCAGCAAAGCCCTTTTATAGGAAAGGTGAGGAAGGGGCGTGGTTAGTTGGTGCACACTTCTTGGTGTCAGAGCCTTTGTCCTTGAGGTCAGGTCATGGTCGGGTCACGATGTTCCTGTAAATCTCCACCAAAACAAATGTTACTCTCTGTTCTGACAAGAAAAGGGGAAGGTCCCAAGGCACGACTTTCGCCCTCCGAGGTCCAGGCCTGGTGGAGAGAAGCGGGGCGGTCACCCTAACCTCGGAGCGTCAGTCCAGCACCCAGTCTGGCTCTTCCCACCAGTGCCCAGGCTGAAGAGGCAGATCTCAGACGGTGGCTCCCTCCGGGCGAGGTCCCCAGACCCTGCCCAGCTGTCATCGCTGAGGCAGCCAGGCGCCCAGGGCCCAGCTGGCCCTCGGGCTCCTCAGGCCGCGTAAACAGTGGGGGCCAGGTTCCCCGGACTGTGTCCCATGCAGACTGCCGCTGCCATTCGGTCGCAGAGGCGGGGATGGGGGAGAGGGTCACCGCAGCCTCAGGGCCTGGGCCCGGCCCGTGGGCGGTCCTGGCGAGGCTCTGGAGCCCTGCAGGGCACACCCCCAGCCTGTTCCCTGGGCCCCCCAGCTCGTCTGCCAGCCCGAGGCCGGGTGAGCTGGAGGGCCCCGGGGAGAAGGCTGGGATCGGCCTCTTACCTCACTCTCCAAGTGGACGACCACCGCTCCGCCGACCGTGGGCTCAAAAACGCCCCTCAAACGGTGGCTCCTTGACAGTTGCTCGCCTGGGGGCGGGGCCCACGGCAGCGCCGACCAATGGCTGAATGGGGCCGTCTGTGGTGCCGACCAATGGCTGAGCAAGACCTCTCGCTGAGGCTCCAACCCCCGGCGTTAATGATCTCCCGGTAACCGTTGCCTGGTAACGGGGTGCGGGGGTGATGGTGGGCAGCAACGGCGGAGGGCTAAGGGCTGCGCCTTGCGGCGCTCCGTTACAGGGTCATCCAGCTGTAAGAGGCGTGACCTCTTCAGGATGGTGTCACAGAAAGGGTTTGACACTTGAGCATACCAGTCACTCTGTATGCCCTCTCTGGGCCTCGGTTTCCCTGTATGTCAAATAAGGACAATAGTGCCTACCTCATAGGATGACTGTAAAGAGGAAATGAGGTACAGTTGAAAAGACTGCATGAGTTACTAGCGTAGAACTTGATATGTAGTGTATGGTCAACAAATAGTTTCTGCCTTGAGCCTCCCACCACATTTACGCGTGCCATCTCCTCACCAAAATGTGCATGTTCTGTGTAGCATGGATGCATCCGTATTCAGAGAGCCTTAAGACAGATTCTTCACCTTGCCTCCACAGTAGACTCAGCTGGGGAGCTTTAGAAAGTCCTAATGCCCAGGCTTCACCCTAGACCAATTCAATCAGAATCTCTGGGAGTGGAAACCGGGCATCAGTATTTTTTAAAGCTCTTCATTTTGCTGCTAAAGTTGAGAACCACTGCTTTAAGCAGGAGGAGAAAACAAGTTAGGCCTGTGGTTTAAGACCACTTGTCTGAATAGCTATATATTTGAAAATTTTCTAGAGGTATAAGGGCTAGAGCTTGAGATGGGCTGATGAGTAGGGCATAGTGAGCTCTGTTCAGGAGAGAGGGCACTATGATAAGAAGGTGGTAAGCATTGTGATTTGGGAAAGGTCAGTGATGAGGTCATTAATACAGGCCCCAGGAATACACAGGATTTACTGCAGAGACGGAGGACTTTGGCCTCCTGAGTTGGGCCTTTGATTAGCACAGGTGACACAATTCTGGCTGGTTAGCTCAGTTGGTTAGAGCGTGGTGCTAATTTAACAGCGGTGACAGACGGTGATGTCTTTATTGCTTTACCGCGTTGTGGATCTTGGGCCATGAGCATGGCGGACTGCAGTAGTGGGGTGCGGGGACCTTTTACAGTTGCTCCACTGGTTGGGGAGGGACATCGAGTCATCGCTGACATGTATGTACGTGGGTGTTCTCCAGCGGAAAGGCCATTGATGAGGAAGCCTCTTCCCAGAGCCTCATAGGGTTGATGTGGCTGCTCTGACTACACAAGTGGTCCTGTCAGTACTAACAGGTGAGAAAGGTGAGGATCAAGTCTGTTTTGCAGACTTTCAGTGAGTAGAGAATCAGTTAGCATAGGAGGGACGGCGTGTCTGGGTCAAGGATGTGAGGTTCTAAGAGACAAGGTACTTTCTTTTAGGACGACTCTGGTTTCTAGAGATACAAGTAATTTAGAAGTTGAAACCGCCATACTACTTCAGTCACTGATGCCAAGACCCAAACGTGGCAGTAATGGCCAGGAGTATCTTCTGCCAAAAGGGGAGGGGGTAATCTGTCTTTCACTGGGTCCCTTTTCTTGAGAAGCACATGAGTTTAATCCCTAGCAAGAGCGTTGGTGAAATGGCCAGACATTGTTGCCTAGGTAAGAAGACAGGATTCAGAGACTCTGCAGGGGTCAATAACTAGAGGTTATGGAAGTGGGTGGATGCAGAAGTGAGGAGTGGAATGGGGTAGAAGGATAGGAGTCTTGGGGTGAGGAGGGAGACCTATTGAAAGTTCGAGGTAGAAAAATCCCAAGTGCTGACAGTTTAGTTAAACGGTTATAAAAGTATGTCAGAACAGGAGTGCTTTCCGAGACCCTGTGACAAGAAATACCAGAGACAGACTGCTCTGTAGGACTCTGCAAGATGTAGGAGGCTGAGAACTGATTAGACTGCTTTTAAACTCTCACCCATATCAGGGGCATAAAGGAGTCACGAGGAAGACTGGGAAAGGCTGCTGCAGAGGATATTTGAGTGGAGTTGTTGGAGTGCTGGTAGACAGGCAAACCAGGGAGAGAGGGACGTGGCTCCACTCTTTGCCTGAACGTCAGCTTTCCCGGGTACAGTGGCTGCAAACTGGTGGGAAGGGGAAAGCCTTAACTGTAAGTCAGGGGGCAAATTTCGACTATGATACTGGACTGGAAATTTTAATTACTAACTTTTCTTACCTAAAAGTGACCATAAAAAGGAATGGGGCAGCTCAGGTTTTCATTCAGGGATGGGAGTACCAGGCACTACAGAGTGTTATCACTGGGACAGTGGGAAATAAAAATTAAGTTGCTTTAAGTTAGTCCCTGAAATCATGCTTGTTCAGTGTGCTGGAACACTGTTGTTGAGAACCTACTTTGTTTTTGAGATCCTAGAGGTCTAAAGATGAATTAAATGACATTGCTCCCTATAGGAATCTATGAACACAATGCAATATAATGTATACAATAAAAGAAGTAATATATGTGAAAATTAAAGAAGTACTATAGTAAGAAAGAAGGTGTGAGTAACTTATTTTGGAGGGGTTGGGGCTAAGAGGGACCTAGAACCTCAGAGAAGATGAAAGGCAGCAGGGTTTGAGATGGGAATAGGTGTTCCCCAGGTGGACACGGCAGAGGAAACTGCCTCAGGTCTAACCTGTGGGAGCGTGACACAGCATGGTGTCCATGTGGGAAAACCCAGGCAGTGTGAAGGGTATGTGTATTCAGGTGGGTGATTCAAACGGAGGTGACATGGAGGCCAAAGGTGTTGTGCCTGTTGGCAGGCTCACCAGTGGAGAGAGGTCATGGAATTTTAAAAACACATACACACACACACTAAGATGCCAGTCATTTCCTCTGTCAGTCACTTCCTCCCTCTCCTTGTCCTTCCCCTTTATAAAATTTGCCAAATTTGTTAGAGAGTGTTGAGGGGTAGCACAGGAACTCTGCTGCATCCCAGTGCCTACAGCTGGTTGGATCCGCTCTGTATCGGACTTAAGCTCAGTCAAACAGACTCTGCCTCCTAAGAATTTAGATCAGAACATTGAGAGCCTGGGTCATATGTTTTCTCCCCAGCTTTACTGAAATATGATTGACAAATAAAAATTGTGTATATTTAAAGTATATGATGTTTTGATATACATACACATTGTGAAATGACCACAATCAAGCTAACACCCCATCTCACATAGTTACCATTTTTGTATGTGTGGTGAGAACACTTGAAATCTCTCAGTAAATTTTGAGTATACAACTATTATTAACTATAGTCACCATGCTGTATGTATATTAGGTCTCCAAAACTTATTTATCTTATCATTGAAAGTTTGTACGCTTTCACCAGTATCTCCCCATTTCCTGCAATCCCCCAGCC